GGGGGGTTGAAGGGGAAGAGATATAGGATAGCTTCTGTTAAAGCAGTAGTGATTACCTCAGGTAGTTTCCAGTATTCTTTGAACAATGATGGGCTTTTAATGCATAGCTCCCCGACTCCAGTTTTATCATCACTGCTCTCATCTTCCAAAAGAATCTTGGCCTGTCAGAGGCAAAGAAATATCAGAGGGCCATCGGACTGGGTAAAACCTGAATTAACCGTGGTGCACTTGCAGGAAACTCCTTGCCGAGGGCCTGTGCACCCCCGGGATTAGTCGGGGCTCTTAGAGACTCGGACACCCGGTGCAAATCAAAAAAAAAAAAGAATAATCAGATAGGACTTATGATAAAGAGGGGATGTATCTAATAAAATTCCTGGACTGCATTTATGGACTTTGTTCCAGCAACTCACTAACCTGCACACGAGGAAATGGCTTGCCAACGGTACCTCCTTTGCGCTTGCCACTTATGGGATTAGAGATTGCCATCACAAACTAGACGCAATGAACCATTACAAAAGCATGAATATTAAACGGTGAGCAGTCAAACAGCTTATGTAAGAAAATAAGTGGATATGAGCACAATTACCTCAGTCATGCCATAACGTTCTAATAACCGATGTCCGGTAATGGTTTCCCACTGCTGCATGACGGGCAGCGGAAGTGCAGAGGAGCCACTCATCTGGAAGCAGACATAATTGTTTTTTCTCATTTAGGACAATTGAGAAATACATTAGATTTGACAGCACCACATTCTATACACAGTACAACCAACCAAAAAGAAAAAGTAATAGATTCATTCTACATGATAAGGTCCTAAATCTGTTGAGTAGTCCATTCAAACAACACCAGCAAAGGAGAAAACGGCCTATTACCATAAGACGCAAGTGCCTTGCTGCTGAAGCAGAAGCTGCTTTAAGTTCTGGATCCATTGCTTCGTAACCTTGTATCAATCGTGCATACATAGTTGGAACCTATTGGATTAAAATGATAGAAACATCAATCAGAAAAAGAGGAGTTGGGCTAGAGGATCTGGAACCAAAGCTATTATTTGACACCATGGTGTTAGCAAATCCTAGCCAAGTACACACAAATGCTATCCCTATCCATAACCCCAGATAAATTTAAGAATCTAAAACTCAAACATAGTAAATGCACCAGATGATCTGACATGTCATAGGATTGCAACTATATTTCATTAATCTACTCAAAACAGACTTACTCCAGTAAACACTGTTATGGCATTATCCATTTTAGTCCCATCTGTAGGATACGATTCACGCCATTTCTGCCAAATTCCCCTCACACTGAATTTTGGCACGAAGTCGACCTTCAACAACACAAAAGCAGGCATGGCAACATGAACTTACCAATCAGACAGCATGTACGCTGTGGTGAAAAAAAGTTTCAAAATGTGAATTCTTTGAGCAATTACTGTGGAACCTGCATAAAGAGGGGCCAGTAAAGCATTGAAAAGCCCATGCACATGTATAGTACAAGTTAAGGATCAACCAAATTTTAGTCCAAATGAGATTGTTTATCGTATTATCCCACACAAAAACATGTTGCAAAAGCAGGGAAAACGTAAACAACATGAGTGGGAACAAATATAATGGGACTGAAAAAAATTTATGGGACTGTGGATATGATGGAGTGGTAGACAGTGCAGAAATTGATCCTCGGACGTGTATTCCCATGCGTTAGCTAACATTTGGACCTGAAACAGCATAAACATGGACGGATTATTAGAGATAGCTTCCAGAGACCTGAAAGTAGTAATTCGTAGTAAAACATCAATGAAGACAATCCCACCCCTGATGATATTACTGACAACTGAAACAAGGCATAAACAAGTTCACGGAAATAAATGATATCAAAAGTTCTCCTTCAATTACAACCAGCAGTTTGTCCAAGGTGGTGAATTGGGTTATTTATCATCTCCCAGCAATACAAATACTATCACAGGTTATCCTATCTTCAGAATCAACAGAATACATATGCATTCACTGCCTATTTGAGGAAAAAAAGAAGTGATAGCAAACGTACTTAATCAGAATGGTCTCTGACAGGCATGATACCATCACGAGATAGAAGTGGAATATTGCTAATTAGATCAATGAATTCAAGAATAAGACATAAAGGCAAAGAATCAATCATATCAAGATGCAATAAAAGCCTGAGAATGATGATATCAAGTCTAGAACAGACATTAACCTGTGCTAGGACTCCATTGTGCGTGTGGACAACTCCTTTTGGTTTACCTGTTGTACCACTAGTGTACAAGATAAAAGCAGGGTTCTCGCCTTAAAGGTAACATGTACAGAACAAAGGAAAATGACATAGATGAGCTCCAAACATCTCAAACAGGGAAATAAATAACCATATCGAGCCACAGACAAACAACCCATTATCTCACCATAGGAATTGATTTCTAGCGGATTTTGTTGACCATCAGAAACCACGTCTTTTGACTGGTCATTCTCCGTTGATGAATGCACGTTGGGAACTAAAGGAATGAGAGATAACTGAGCACCAGTTTTTGCTGCAATTGTACTCATAAGTTCTTGGTGGTCTTCAGTACTCAAAATCATGGAGATGTCCTAGAAATCAATGTTTCACATTGATTTAGTAAGCATAAAAGAAGACAAAAACTGGGAGGAGGAACTTGCATTGGTTCTACAACAAGCAGATACGGAATATTTCAGCCTGATTGAAGATGAGCTAATCACCTATGGACAGAGAGCAGGGTGTGACAAATGATGCAAGCTCTATCATTAGTTTTGGGTATGAGAGAAAGCAAGTGCATCCATTTTTGACGTGTCTTTAGTATCTTTCAAATAACACTTTACTGACAGGAAACAACGAGGAAGAAGATAAAAGATTGAGAGATGTACCGAGTCATTCATCACATGTAGCAGTTCAGTCTCAGGGTAGCTCAGAGCAAGAGGGACTGCACAACCTCCACTAAGCCAGGTCCCTAGTATTCCAGCAACGAACTCAGCAGAAGGTTTGGCTACAATCCCTACTCTTGCTCCATTGAGATGTTCATTTTCTTTGATGCCTTTGTCCTGAAAAAGTGGAAGCGTTTGAGCAGAAAGCAATAACCGAAGTAAGTTCAGTAGACTGACTTTGAAATTGGAAGAGCAATGTATCCAGATAAAAAAGATAGTGCATTGAGAAAAGGACTCGCACTGAAAGAATTTCGTAAACAACATTACTCTCAATAATATTTCGATAAGGAAAAGAAAATTTTGATTTAATTCACACTGTTAGCTGAAGATTAAAATTCTTGCAACTTTAATTATTTGCAGATAATTCGCCGTTTCCAACTCACAGTTTTAACATCTAGCTTGTTTAACAAATTTGAAATCCTCCTCGCAGATGATATCAGCTGAAGGTAACTGTAGCTTTTTTCATCAGCTCTTATGGCAATATTCTGCTGTGATTCAGGTCCCTTGCTCGCAACCTCCTTGACCAGCTCCATATAGCTTATACTACTTGTAGCTGGAAAAAAAAACGAAGAAAGAGGAATAAAACTTTAAGATTACGTAAATATCATGTTTGTACCATCTCTAACTTTTTGAAGCAGAAAAGAGGATATGCCATGAGTTGCATCAATGGGAATCTTGGTTTACGAAGATACATCACATGAGAAATTTAGAAAATAACTACTTGCGTGTTCCAACTTACCTGATAATCTTTTCCTTACGGAACGTTATAAAATGTTTGGTACCATTTTACTGATAATATATTCTATACAACTTTTACTGACATTCAAGAACTCAAATTCATTTAATGATTCAAATTTTTAACATTGAGTAATGTTTTCCATATCAAAGTAACATTTCTACCACTAATAGCATATGTATGTCCAATAAACATTTCAGATGCCGTTTCCATTCGAATAGCTTTATATGAAATGGGACAAAGGCCTACATTTTACTCCAACATTACTAATATGTTTCTGAAGATGCAAATAAATGCCCAACCTCAATGGAAAAAGTAAAAATCCCTGCTCCCTAAAGATGAGGAGGCCCACATTCATTAGGGAAGAAAGACAGATGCTTAAGAAGTTCTCAACTCCCAATGAAAGAAGGTGCAAAATTTGATATATTCGCAACGTGTTTAAGGAAAAAAACCAATACGAATTCTAAAATCTCTGACACAGTCCACCTTTTATACTCTCTTTACAGGATTTCCTAGGAGCAAAATAGCCTACTAATTCATAAGACACTCAAAATTTATTTTGACAGAATCCTAAACCAAATTGAATCAACGGAAACAAAGTAGGAATAGGATCAACGGAAACAAAGTAGGAAAATCCACATAGATCAACAGTCCACATTTTATTTTTTTTGATAACTGTGGTGTCAGCATATGAGCACCTCAGACTAATTCCAGGGGTAGATGCTACTTCTGACTAGCACAAGTACCGAATAACTCTATCCACCAAGGCTTGGACACATGGGAAGATATCACCTAGTGTTTTTGCCTCCGCTAGGATTCGAACAATATCTACTCTTTTTCTTTTGTTTTTCTTTAGTTTAAATATTTTAGGTATACTGTTTCTTTTTTATGTTTCTGATTCATTTACTTGCTATCAAAAAATCATCATTTCAGTGATACAAATATGCAGCAACCAAAAACAGAAGTTGAAAAATGATCTCTGCAAAGCTTACTAGCAAAAATACATCAACGAGCTTTAACAAAATCCTAACTTTACTGATAAAAACCCTGGGTTTTCCAATAAAAATCAACTTGACCATCCACAAATCACTCGCTCCGGAAAAGTCACAAATTCCAAAAAGATTTCAAAGGCTGAGTTTGTAAATTTTCAAATGGGCCAAAAGCCACTCAAAAAAAACTTCTTTAAACAAGTGATAAACTGAATTTCAGTTCTTAAATGTACATCATGATAAACACACAATTTATCAAATATAAGAGTGTTTTGATCAAGAAAGAGAACATACCGGATGAAAAGAGGCGAAATTGGGAGGAGATAAAGCTATGATTTTTTGGACACGAAAAAGAATACTGAATATATGGGAAATAGAACAAGGGACTGTAGCGAGAGTGAAGAGGTGTGGACTTATAAGTGAGAAAGTAGTTGAGTAACTTCAATGAGCTCATACTATTAGGTGCCAAGTTTCTTTATTACTTAATCAAACAAGAAATGTCAATTTATGGCACAACTGTATCTGTATGTGGTGTGTTGCAGTAAATATGGAGCGGTTTGAATTTCTTTTATTTTTAACCCAATTCAATAAAGCCTATGCTTGGGGGTTGCGGGTTGGTCTCGCCGGCGAGATCAGCTTCGCCGGTTTCCGATTTGGTAGACCGCTGGCTAACGGCGTTTAATTCTGAAGAAGATTACGAAGGACATAACTGTCTATTAAAACAATACGTAACATAATTACCCTAACACTTCATTGTTCCCCGTCGTTTTATAATGTATTGTATTATATTGTACCGTATCGTTTTATGAATACAATGTTTGAATAAAGAAGCAAGGGCGTAGCAGCTGCACGAAGTTGCGCCTTAGCGCATATGTTTTCTTGCTCGTTAGCGCTGTTTTTTGATTTTTTAAAGAAGGGGCGGAGCTTGATTGTATGTTTGTGATTATTAAATAATATTTTGTTGTTTGGTTTGATTGTATCGTACTGTACTGTAACTGATAAGTTTACTAAAATACCCTCAATTGTTTAAATATTAAATTTATCAAAAATTATGCATAAAAATAATTTTGAAAAATAAAACAGAAGAAGGCAAAACATAAGAAAGCAAAACAAAGGAGCGAGACAGAAGAAGGTAAAACAAAGGAGCGCAACTAATTAGATTTGAGTTACAAGCAAATTAGGAGAAAAAATAAAAACAGAAGGCAGCAAAACACCTTTAACATTGGTCTGGAAAAAAATAAAGTAGGTTATAAGTTGGAAATTTGGGTTAAAATAGAAAAAAAGATAAAGGGTAAAATAGAATTGTGAAGTAATAAGTTAGGGGATAATTGGAAAGAAAAATAGGAAACAATCCCACCACACCAAATCGGTTGTTTTAAAAAAGGGGACATTTCATTGTTCCGGAACAATGAATTTAACAATACAATACAACCAATTTTAATGAAACAATCAAAACAAACATTGTTCTGAGATAACAATACAATACGATACAACAAGGAACAACCATCCAAATAAGTTGTAAAGCACTGAGAATTATTTTTAAATTTCTTTTAGCACTGGAAATGTAATACTATTTTGAAACGGGCTTTGGCAACCGGCAGGGGCGGCTCCAAAGGGTAGCCTAGTAAGATCATTGCCTTACGCCCCCAAAATTTGAAGGCCCCAAATTTATATTAAACTTTTATTATTATTATTATTATTATTATTATTATTATTATTATTATTATTGTATATAATTGTAGAAATGGCATCGGATGGCCACTTTTTAACATGGTATTTAGTTTTTATTTAGTATTTTTAATGTTGAGCACAAATAGCCACTAATCTATTAAAATTAATACGAAAAGACATTTTTACCCTTTCTGCTATGAGGTTCCATACCCCAACGTTGTCAAGAGATGCCATGATCGTTGTCCATCCTCCGGGAAAAACCTAAAAGGTACACAAACAGGTAAATAGAGAGGAGCATACATAGATAATAAATGAGAAAGCAAAAATAGTAATCGATAGCCTTCAACCTATCAGAGTGATATATGCGCAAAGACGACCACAGAAGAACAAACCTGAGTTGTAGACCGGAAAATTGCATCCCACCTATTATAAGTTCAAAAGTTAAGGACACTTGGTCCTGAACTTAGAATTACAAGTTCAAAAGTTAAGGACACTTGGTCCTGAACTTAGACTAACAAGCTCAAAAGTTAAGGACAATAGGTCCTGAACTTACAGTTACAAGCTCAAAAGTTAAGGACAATAGGTCCTGAAGTCCTGAACTTAGACTAACAAGCTCAAAAGTTAAGGACAATAGGTCCTGAACTTAGGCTAAGAAGCCCAAAAGTTAAGGACAATAGGTCCTGAACTTAGACTACTTGTAACGACCCGGGCGGGTCGTTTTAAGAATTAACGCCCTGATTCCTTATTAACTGCATTCTCCGTGTTTGTTTCTGCTGTTTTGAGTTGTCGGGAGGGTTTATTTGGAGTTTCGGAGAGTTTTGGGACACTTAGTCCCTAAATGAGAGTTTAAGTTTTAGAATTTGGACCGTAGTCGGAACAGCGTGAAGACAGCCTCGGAATGGAATTCTGTTGGTTCCGTTAGCTCTGTTGGGTGATTTCGGGTTTAGGAGCGTGTTCGGATTGTGTTTTGGAGGTCCGTAGCTTAATTAGGCTTGAAATGCCGAAAGTTGAATTTTTGAGGTTTCCGATTCGATAGTGAGATTTTGATACAGGGGTCGGAATGGAATTCCGGAAGTTGGAGTAGCTCCGTATGGTTGAATGTGACGTGTGTGTAAAATTTCAAGTTATTCGGACGAGGTTTGATAGACTTTTTGATCGAAAGTGTATTTTGAGAGTTTTGAGGTTCTTAGGCTTGAATTCGATGCTAATTGGTTGATTTGATGTTGTTTGAGGTGTTTTGAAGATTTGTATAAGTTTTTTCAGTAGTATATGACTTGTTCGTGCTGTTAGTTGAGGTCCCGGGGGCCTCGGGATGATTTCGGGTGGTTAACGGAAGAGTTAGGAATTTGGTTTGGCAGCTGAAGCTCTTCCATTTGCTGTCATAACCGCACCTGCGGCTAAGGGACCGCAGGTGCGGACATGCAGAAGCGAGCATGGAGCCGCAAATGCGGCCAAGAGGGAATAAGCTGGAACCGCAGAAGCGGATAAGGGAGCGCACATGCGATAGCGCTGGTGCGGGAATTTTAGCGCAGATGCGGAAATGGCCGTTAAGTGAAAATTCGCAGGTGCGGTAGTTATGGCCGCAGAAGCGGGCTCGCAGAAGCGTTAATTGGACCGCATATGCGGATTTGCTGGGTCAGAACATATATATTTCGCCCTTCGCGAATTTTAGCTATTTTTCACCTCTTTTCAAACGGGAAGAAGCTTTGGGGAGCATTTTCAAGGGGGATTTTCAGAGGGATTCATTGAGGTAAGGTCTTTGGTTCCAAAAACTCGTTCCTATGGTGTTATTTCATTGATTAGACTTGAAATTTATGGAAAATTGTGGGTAAATATTGCAGAAACTAGGGCTTGGTTAATTGGAGAATTTTGAGTGGTGATTTGAGGGACCATTTGAGGTCCGATTTTGGTACTTTTTGTATGACTAAACTCGTGAGAGTATGAGGATTTTGAATATAAATTTTTATCCGATTCCGAGACGTGGGCCCGGAGGGCATTTTGGTCATTTTACCTAATTTCGCGTATTAGCTTAGAATTTATTTGTAGAATCAGTTACTTGAGGTGTTATTTACATTATGCAATTGAATTAAATAGATTTGGGCCATTTGGAGTCGAGTACTCGTGGCAAGAACGTGGTTTCGGGTTGATTTTGAGCCGGTTCGAGTAAGTGGCTTGTCTAACCTTGTGTGGGGGAAACTCCCCTTAGGATTTGGTATTATTGATGTTTGAAATGCTTTGTACGTGAGGTGACGAGTGCGTACTTGTGCTAATTGTTGAAAAATTCGGTTTTCACTAAATACTTAGAATTGTGTTTCTTTTCCTGTTTATACTGCTTGCAATTTTAGCCTGTTGTTAGCTTAGGGAAGCATGTCTAATTGACTTAATTGCTTATTTGCTCAACCGCCTTAATTGAATTATGTGCAGCATGCTAGGTTAGAAATACCTACTTTACCTTGGTGTGAAATTGATTTGAGTATTCTTCTTGTTGCTGCTGTGTATTTACTTTGGGACTACGGGATGGTATCCCGGGAGATCCCCCTGTATGTTTACTTTGGGACTACGGATTTGTATTCCGGGAGATCCCCCTACACTTTTAAATTGGAACTACGGGACTGCACCTGGTAGATTCCCCCAGTATTTATATTTGGGACTACGGATCGGGATTCCGGTAGATCCCCGCGCACTATGAGTTGGACTACGGGATGGTATCCCGGGAAATCCACTGGATATTTATATTTGGAACTACAGGACGGTATCCTGGGAGATCCCCGGTTGTTATCTCTTTGTGAGCTGTACTCATTTCCGTGATTGTTTGTCTCTGTTATAGCTGTTGTTGTTCTTTCTATCCTGTATTACTTCTTACCGTTGCACTTAACTATACTGCTTTACTTTACATTGGTATATCTTGTTTTTCCTTTAGTCTCAGTAGGGCTCTGACCTTCTTCGTCACTACCCGACCGAGGTTAGGCTTGGCACTTACTGAGTACCGCTGTGGTGTAATCATGCCCTTGCTACGCATATTTTTCATGTGCAGATCCAGGTACTTCCACTCAGTCTTATCACGCTTGAGGCGAGGCACTTTGTAGAGACTCCGAGGTATATCTGCCGCGTCCGCAGACCGAAGAGTCCCTTTCTATTCTCAGTACTAGTATAGCCTTTTCTGTATTTCCCTTGTTGGTAGACATTTCTGGAGTTAGAGCTTATTATGTAATCTTTTAGCTTGTGATTCATGGGATTTCGGGTTTTTGGAAATGTTCAATTTTTGAGATCTTGTGTTGGTACATGCCGAGCGGCATCTTAAACACTTATAAAGTTGTTTATCTTTAATTTCTATTTGTTTTCCGCATTTTGTCCCTTTTTCCGCAAATTGTTAGGCTTACCTAGTCGTAGAGACTAGGTGCCGTCACGACAGTTCAGGGAGGGCGAACTTGGGTCGTGACACTATCAAGCTCAAAAGTTAAGGACAATAGGTCCTGAACTTAGACTTACAAGCTCAAAAGTTAAGGACACTTGGTCTTGAACTTACAGTTACAACTTCAAAAGTTATGGACACTTGGTCCTGAACTTAGACTAACAAGCTCAAAAGTTAAGGACAATAGGTCCTGGACTTAGACTTACAAGTTCAAAAGTTAAGGACAAGTAGTCCTTAACTTAGAGTTACAAGCACAGAACTTAAGGATAGGTGGTCCTGAACTTCGAGTTCCAACTTTAAAAGTTAAGGACATGTAGTCCTGAAGTCCTGAACTTAGAGTTGCAAGTTCAAAAGTTAAGGACATATAGTCCTGAAGTCCTGAACTTAGAGTTGCAAAGTTAAGGACACTTGGTCCTGAATTTTTATGAGCAGAAATGTGTTTTCGTCCGGGCAGGTAAAGTTTATTAAAGAAGTGGCTAAAGACTAAGACATTTTAAACAGTGGCTTAAAAGTAAATACATGTGTTATTAGTGGCTAACCGTGCACTTCCCCCTATATAATTTATATAAATAATTATTATAAAGAAAAGTGTTACATTATATTTTTTGTTATTTGTTTAA